TGTGCTTGGGGCCGAGTGCATCCTCCTTCCCTTGCAGCGCCCGCTGGTACATCTTCTCTGCCTCTGCCAGCTTGCCTTGGTCTTCGTAGAGATCACCTAGCCAGTGAAAGCCGTCAAGAATTACCTCTCTCCCCTCTACGCTGTCCGGGTCTGCTCCATAAATGCCGTTGCTGCTAGACAGTTGCACTGACTGACTATCTGCAACGTGTATAGAGCACGCTTGGGCATGAGTAAGAAGTCGTTGTTGCAGAGCTGCCCAATCGCTCTTCGACTGATCTGGCACAGCCCACCCAACAGTGACCACTGCAAGCCGACCTAGCTCCCTCGCTGACTGCTTGCCCTGGTAGTGGTACGCCCACCGGTGCACTACTGGGTGTGTCGCATAGCTCGCTGTCTCTTCCACCGCCTCGACAAGCGAGTAGTTGCGCAGCAGCTGCATCGCCCGGCTAAACGCTACCTCGCTCCGCGCAATCTCTCCAACCCACGCTGATAGCATCCTTGCAGCACCCGTTGAAGCCTCACACGCTGCTGCGAACAGCCCGTGCCACAGGCCTTTGTTGTCCAGAAATGACCACAGCAGCAGCAGGTTGGCCGTGTGCTCGTGCTTGTCGCGGATTGCCTGGTACGAGATGGCCCACGTCGTCCACACGCTGCGGTCTGGGTAGTCTTGCAGCGGCGCGTCTGTTATATCGTCCGCCTTCATCAGCTCGCTCCACTGCTGCTCGTAGAAGCGCAGATACGTCTCGAGCCCCACCTCGCTCTCCTGCAGATACGCACCCGCCTGGGCAATTGCCAGCAGTAGGCCGTCAAGCAGCCGCAGCAAGCGTTCGCTTTCGGCCATGTCTGTGGTCATGGGTGTCAGTTTCGAAGGCTTATGCTGGCTCGTCAACAGAATTCGCCTTACCATAGGTCCTCTCATACCACGTCTTCAGAATCGCCTGCGCTTGCTCGTGGTCCACCTTGCCCAGCTGCTGCGGCGACTTGTCGAGCTGCTTTAGCTTCGCCAGCCGCGTCGTGATCAGCACAGAGCCATGGTCGGCCCCTGAGAGGTAGCGCCTTACATCGTATGCATCTGGATCACGACCTCTCTTGCTGTACTCTCGGTCGACGTTGTCAAAGATGAGCAGCCAAGCACTGTTGTCTGGCCGCGCAAGCCAGCCCATGACATCCTTCACCACCGCCTCTACATCCGCACCGCTGCCTGTGGCATAAGACGTGTTCACGTCAGGGATCTGGCCCTGAGGGATTCTGCCCGCGCAGCTGGCGACGCTCCGCTTGAGACTGTCCTCGCTGCGTCCGTCGAGCCAGAACACTGCGCTGAACCGCCGGTGGTGTCGCCGCGCAAACTCCACCACCAGCTGCGTCTTGCCCATGCCACCGAGGCCGTGTAGCACGTGGATCTTCTGTCGACCATTCAGCTCATGTCTGGGCAGGAGCGCTTGTTCCAGCTTCGCCATCTCCGCCGGTCGGTCCACGAACCATCTTACTCTGGGGACGCCCTCGAGGCTGAAGACAGTCTGATACACTCCAAAGTCTACACATTGTTTAGCTATATATCCTGCAGTACAGTCAACGCATTAACACTAACACTCTCTACCTGCGATGCTGCCCGCGCACGCCTGCATCTGCTTGTGCACCGCCTGCGTCGCGATGTACCTGCGCGTCGCTGCCGCCATTTCTTTCACCTTTTTGGCCTCCTCCAGCCCAATGTCCTCCAGCCCCCGGTCCACGTTGAACCGGTAGTATCGCCCTGTGCTGTCCAGCAGCGGCCGCTCGCGCCGGAACCGCTCTGCTGTCTGCTCCGTCTCCGTGGCAATCGCCACCAGCGTCTTGCCAACGTGCAGCACGTCGTCCTTGAACGGCTTGAGCGACGGCACCCCCGTCCCGATCGACACCAGGCACTTGACCCGCCCCTCCAGCGGCTCTGGGCCCCACGCCAGCTGCGCCTGATCCCACATCTCTCGCACCGGGTTGTTAGCCCCTGTCGCACCGTCCACGAACTCTTCGCCAAACCGTCCGACTGCGATCGGATCGAAGAAGGACGAGGCAGCCGACGTCGCCCGGCAGGCCTCCCAGATGGTCACGCTGTTGAGCAGGTCGCTGCTGCCGCGCGGTGTGCGGTAGCTCGTGAGGCAAACCGTCTCGCTGGTCTCCTTGCTCGTCGCGCACACGAAGCTGGAGTTGTTAGAATACAATCCGGTAGACGCACAACACGCAGCTCGACATACACTTTGCATACAGTATTGGGCTCGTCTTTGAGCAGCGCGTCCTCTTGCAGGCCCTGCTGCTTCACAACCTCCCTCACAGCCCGCGCCAGCTCCTCCGAGTCGAAGCGGCCCTGGATCTGGCCCTTGACCGTCACGCGGTGTCGCGACTTGCGGAACACGCGCGTCGAGAGCGACAAGTATGCGGTGATGCAGTCTGCCACGCTCATCCTCAGCCGGCCCAGCATGACGGCGATGAGCCTTGAGGTCAGCGCACTGAAGCTGTATGTTTGACATCCTCCTACCTACCCGCCAGTGCTGGTCCCGCCGATCATATCGAAGTAGTCGCACGGCTTGGGCGGCGCGTCTGGGTCGACGGCCTCCATCAGCTGCTCGAGGATCATCAGCGCGGACAGGCCGCGCACGCCGCCGCCGTCGAGGGCGAGCAGGCGGAGCTCGTTGCCGGGCATCGTCAAGAGGGTGATGAACGAATTTCGAGGGTACAGGGCTCAGGTTATCGTCGAGAGTGGTGTTTGGGCTATCGTGATGGCTGCCTCAGGAGAACAAGGCTGAGGCAGCGTTTCCGCCCCCAGCGCTTGCGCCTGAGCTGACTGACTGGCTGGCTGGCTGGCTGGAATGACCGCAACTGACCATCACCTGCAGCAGGCCTTCTTCAGCGCGGGAGCGCATCGTCTCTCTATGATGTGGCGAAGCGCGCGAGGCCCGATCGTGCAGACGCAGATGTTCCCAAGTCAAGGCCACAGCAAGAGAGGAAGAAATCGAAGCGTCGGTTCCGGCATTGTATCCAGAAGATTTTTCAGTAGTACTACTATATAGCAATGCATACGCAAACGTAGATAGAGAATTTACAACAGCAGCATTCAAGACTATAAGCGCTCCCGAGTCCTGGTGGTCAGAATAAAGATCAATTGGTAACAGATTAAGGCGTTTCTTGCAAGCGCTATGGGCGGGGGCTTTGCCAACCGGAGCTAGAGCTGTCTGGGAGTAAGCGAGACAGGGGATAAAAGCTGAGCGGCGCACAGGAAGCGGAAACTGCGAGTGCAAGCGACTGTATTTCAGGCACAACACAAGCATACCAAGCTTTTGAGCCATGTAAGTGCAAAGCTTGGCATCGTGATGGTGGATCGTCGACGACAGACGGCCGGAAATCTGGGGTTGAGCGGGGGCTAAAATATCATCGAAGCCGGTCTGTATGCAGAGGATCCACTCAATCCTACAGTGATGACCTTGTATGCGGTATTGCATCTTCTCAACATTCAGAGCACAGTCGATCAGTTTGCTCTCGAATGTCCAAAAAGCAATCATGAACATACCTGCAAACGTAAATGCGACTAGCTCGCTCACCGAACTGTAATACAAACGCAACGTCGCCTCGAATGCACCTCATCAAGCCTGGACTCTGATCCGCTGTTGACCAACGCACACGAATTACCTGCCACAACACGCTGTCATCCATCGGATCCGTACTGTGGCGCAAGTCATGCCCGTTCACGACGCGCAATTAGCCAAGACTTTCATCCAATGTATACGATCGCAAATGTCAACTGTACTACTAATAACGGCATCATGCAATTGGACGCCGACATGAGCTGCTTGATCTCCGCAACGTCCAACCAGTCTATCACGACAGTAGCCACATTTGCATTCAGTATGGCTACATGCAAATGGGTGACAGATCATGGGAGAGCGGAGAACCTGCATAGTTGATCGATTGCAAGGCACAGCCACGGACGTGACCTGGTAGTCAACCCAATCGGGCCCCGGCCAGACTGATCAGAAATACGAAAACATGCTTTGGGCTTGCGAACAAAGAAGTGTGTGGAGGTGATCCAGACTGGTGCGTGCGCATGGAGGATATGATATAAGGCTGCACTGCATGGTAAAGCTGGTTCATTACATCCACTCACTCTCATCCATCAATCACCTCAGTCGTTCGACTACTTTCGATACCTGGTTCTTACCACCAAAACAACACTACATAACTATCAAGATGCGTTCCTCCGCTATCGCCCTTCCCGTCCTTGCTGCTGGCGCGGCGGCTCAGAGCTCGTGAGTCCATCCACCACAGCCTCCACATTCAGGCATACAACATCACCATAGTGCTCTCTCTTCTGCCCATAGCCCCGCTTCCTCGACTCTCTCCTCTGTCTCGCACAGCGCCAGCGCATCGAGGGCTTCCGCCTCTGCGTCCACTTCTGCTACTCACAACTGTCTTTAGAATTACGAGTTCAGTGCAACGCCGTGAACGCACGTGTGAAATTGCGATAAAAGCAGTCCAGTACTCCACAGTAATGTACGTCCAAGTGTCCCCAGACGCACGGTATCCCGGGACAGGTCCACACTCCGGACCTTCAGTCTTTTGTTCGCACATTTTCAGACCAGTGGTTGACATGTTAACGTTCTGTAGCCATTTCCGCATCAGGGCACCAGCCTCCGGCAAGGATCGCTGCGGTGTTGGCCATGCTGTCTATCGTTTCGTCAGCGCCGTCAATTGACACTTTGTCAATTACCCCCTGTCCATTCATGACCACGAGGGACTCTGTAAGAATCGGAGGGTCTGATAGAAAGCACGATCAACGAAGACTGTGTCTCTCAGCTTTGAAAGCTGCTTTAACCTAAGAAGTGTGCAGTCCGGGAGTTTGCCGGTCAGGAGCGAAGATCGCGAAAAGCATTCCAGCGCGTCGAGACGCGCTAACGCGCTTGGCATGCAGGCAGCTTACAGTAACGTGCTCAGATATTGTTGCGTACCACTGTAACAAATATGATGCTATACCTACGCCTGACTATTTGCCAAAGGTAGATCTAGCTGTGGGGCATGCGGGCGGCTCTCTAAAGCGTCTACGATCAGGTGCTAGACGAGTTGTACCCAAGAACTCGATTCTCGAAATCCACTCAATGGTATGACATGTCGACGGCCACTCTTCCAACAATAACTCTTGGTCCTCCGACATAGCGATACCTAAATTTATCCAGTATTTATGTGCGCATCCCTGTCCCCTTTTACTAACTAGAGATATGGAATGAATGACGCATTGAAGGAGCGAACCAGCTCCTCTATCATTCGCTACAAACAGATACGAGCATGTGGAAGATCAATATTGCAAGTCCACACTCTGCCATATCCAACGCCCATACCAACCTTGGTCCCGCGCACAGACGAGCATGACGGTCGATACTCTGATGGTACCCATAGCATGTTCTTGCCGTCATGCTTAATCCATGTGTTGTCGGAGTTAAGGGTTGAGCCTAGATACGGAGGGCACTCGGGTTCAGCGACAGCTGCTATGCTCGACGTTTCCGAGTTATCGATACTGATAGTACCTATTTCAGTACGGAGATAAGAGTTGGTGGAGTCAAATAATAGGTTGTAAAGTGTCTTGCCGATGTTAAACGTCTGCAGACACGTGCTGCTGCTCACGTCCCAGAGCTTGACGGTGCTGTCGTATGACGCCGACGCCAGCTTGGTCGAGTCGTGCGAGAAGACTACAGAGCTGACAACATTGCTATGGCCCGTGAACGTCTGCAGGCACGCGCCGCTGTTCGCATCCCACAGCTTGACGGTGTTGTCGTATGACGCCGACGCCAGCTTAGTCGAGTCGTGCGAGAAGGCTACAGAGCTGACCCCATTGCTATGGCCCTCGAGCGTCTGCAGGCAGGCACTCCACCTGTCACTCATCACTGGCTTGATAGTGATTCCTTCTGGCTCTTCGTGCTGGAACAGCCTTTTGATCACGCTCCCAGTCGGACTGAACAGCAGTGCAGACGCATATGTCTGCAAAGGGAAGCTCTCGATTGCCCCTTTATGGTACATGAAGAATCGGCGCGCGTCTTGGACAAGCGCAGTAAGCTTGTCCGTATCCCACATCTCCTGGTTCTGTTAGCATCTACGTTAAGTACAATATACGAACATCCTGTCTGTGTATGTCATACCTGGGCCAGAGAGCAGAGTTTCGACACCGAGACTATGCCTTTCGCCGTGCTCTTGCACAGACTGAGCCCTTCCAGCCAGTAGAGGTACCTCTTTCCTATGAATTCATAGACAACACCTCCGACTTGCACATCACCATCACTGTTTGCCCAAGACTTGGGTTTCGAATCGTACAGGTGGTCAACCCAGTAGATGCACGGGTAACGCGACGCTACTAGTGGGTCTGGGTCAGGCGTTTTGACGTTGTCGATGGAGAATCCAAGTTCTTCCAGGCTGTACATGTCCCTGTGCAGTGTCCTGGACAGAACCACGAGCGACCTTGAGAAGATCACCCGATGAACGGCTTCGGTCCCATCTGGGAAGATCTCGTCGAATGCCTTTGTAACGAGGAAGTCCTTTGCGGATTGATGCACAAAGTAGACCGTGTCTTCTCGCAGAGTGAGAAACGATCCACACAGCCCGATGATATCCCGCACCTCTGTTTTGTCGACCATGTCTTCGAGCGCTTCAGCAAGGACCACCAGCTCCTCCAGCGTGATTGGCCGATACACAAGCGCGATGGAGGCCAGCACTTGCTTGCAAAGTTCAGCGTCATCCGACACGCTGATCTGCTGCATCATCCGCTCGTACAGCGCGTTCAGTCCTGGCGGAAAGGAGTCCAGCTTCTTAAGTACATTCCGTCTCGCCGTCGCTTGAAGGTCCTGACACACTAGCGCTACCCACAGGAAGGTGTCGTTTGCATTCGTCGTCAAACGTTCAAACACCGCGTCTTGGGTCTGCTTGTCGTACTTCTTCTGCTGTGCCAGCTGCGACACCTTGTGCTGGATGAAGACGCTGACAGCCGCCGACACAGACTCTGCATTCAGCTCAAGACTCAGCCTTACCTTGTGCCCTGCTTGCTCTAGCTGTTCTTCGATGCCTGGCCAGTTGCGGCTAGACACTATCCACTTGACGTGGGAAGATGCAGACGACCCTTGTATGACAAGGTGAAGCAGTTTTGGCAAGTCAGTGACGCACTCGTCTAGCGCGTCAATGATCATGTAGGTAGTGCCCAAGCTCAGGTCCTGCAGCACGTCTGCAAAGATCTCTGTCAAGGCAACCCATGCGTTTGCATCCTCGAACATGGTCTTGCCCGCCTGATCGTATGTCTTGCGAATGTGCGTGATGAGTGCTGGCTGCTGACTGACAAGCAAGTACAACAGTCCGCGCAGCACGGCCGTAGCGTTGTTGATGCGCGAGTCAGTGGCCTGGCAGAAAAAGTAGGTTACAGACGCGGTACTAGCGATCGTCTTCTGTAGCTCGTTGATGATGCCGCAGAGCAGCATCGTTTTGCCCTTGCCAGGATCACCTTTGATCCACAGCAGCTGACTCTGTGCGTCGTTGCGCCATTCTTGGAAACTACTGTTGTCAAACACCCATCGGTACGATCCCTCCAATAAGCCGCCCTTTGTGTCCTCGATGCGCTTCTTGTCGTTACGGGGATCGGTAGGACGTAAGTCGCGGAGACATTCCTCCCGCTTCTGAAGGTTCTCTTCCCGCTTCCGGATCCTGTCATGAAGTCGTCTGAATGCTTCTTCTGCCCCTTCACCATAGACAGGCGCGATGTCAACGTCAAAGATGCCTGACAAAGAGTACGCCGCATCCTCTTTGAGCTTCGTGTGCCGATTCTGTCTCCATCGGAACCGCTCCTCGATAGTGGACTGAGAAAGGGGAGCACCTTCAAGCACACGACGTGGGATAGTTGTAATTTCGTAGATCTGGGACTGGAGGGATACCCTGTCACCGAGCCTGTGCCATTCACGTGAGTGGAACTCGACCAAGCCAGGTGCGAGAAGCTCCTGCAGCGTCCAGCCGCGCGTGAACCACCTGCTCTCTCGGAACTCTGAGTCCCATAGCGGCGGGCTGCCTTCTCTCTCAGCGGCAAGAGGTGGAGCAGACACGTCTGGCAAGTAGACGTAGCATCGAGCTGCGTTGCGGTACCAGCGAAACATGGACTGTATGGCTAACGAGTGCTCAGCCTTGTTTGCCTTGTTAATGCAGCAGGTATCGATCCAGAAGTGTTGCAAGCCGTCGCGCTTGGCCTGCTCTCCACAGAGCTGGATCTTCTTGTAGCCAGACTTGTCCTTGCCAGCGTTCTTGGCTAGGTCTTCGAAGGTCACCTCGTCCGCATCCGCTGCCCAGGTATGAGACAAGATCGCATAACAAGGTATTGCGTGTTCGTCAACCAAGTCAGGGGTGACACTAAACTCTCCATCTTCTCCGTACTTTAAGAGCCGCATTGAAAGGCGTAGACGTGTGGCAGGTGCATGCGGTTGCAACGAGACTCGCGAGACTTGACGCGGCAGCTTGATCGCGAGAGAGTGCGGCAACTAGTTTCCCTGTTGCATGCAAGATCTGCAAGCGGAGAGGGCGGCGAAAGGCTGTACAGTACCTAACGCTCACAGTGATGCAGAAAAGTTGCAACCCGTGATGGTGTTGCGAGCTGAGGCTGATCGTCTTTGTCATTCTGTGAAGACGTTTGGACGGGCTTGAGGCGGGGCAGGCGCAGCTGATAGCATGCACCATAACGCCAGGCACAAGGCTGAACAGCGGCCAAACCGGCGCGTGCCTGAACCTCGAAGTCTGGGTGAACTCTTCGGCGCCAATAGCAGGGCGGAAGAGAGCCGACCCGCCCCCTAGCAGGGAATCGGGGCAAGGCACGTGGTCATGGATGCTCTCTCAAAGCCGCCAGCCTGCGCCACAGCTATTCTTAGCAGCTGATCCGCTGTGGGTATAGCGTTGAATTCGTGACGATAGCATACCATAGTACGACTACGTGTCCTTCTTCTCTAAGTTACCTGGAGTGCATTGATGCCCTCCATCCTTGCATTCTCGTCGCTCCATTGTTCTCCACGATGGATCAGGCCAGTCGTGTTCTGGCACAACCTGTTCCTTCTGGCCTGTCTAAATTGTATCGCGCTCGAGCCGACCGCGATAAAGTACCTCACACAACCTTACACCATCGTGCGCGTGGCTGTCGCTCCAGAGAGAAATAACCAAAGCCAGCAGTGCTTGACTCCCTACGAGGAAGATGCTCTTGTCAAGGTTCTCCTATAGATGTATGACCTTGGACAGCCTGTCCGGATCAAGTTCATACCTTTTCTAGCCTTCTGTGTCACCCGCCAGCGACCCGAAACAAGTGAATGCACGACGTCGCCCTGCCTGTCAGTTTTCTCACAGACATCGTTCGACGAGAATTACACAGCTACACATTACTAAACTATCAAGTCACCTAATGGGAACCAAGGATGTTCCACGAGCCATATTTAGTTTATCACCTGAACTCACTGTTCATTCCTTATTGTGCGCTTCACTAAAGTGTGCGTAGCTTCTGCACAGGAGGCTCCACTCGCCTCACAATCTTCGCACATATCCCAGTCTCCACCAACGCAAAGATGGCAATGGTAGTGGAAGGCAGTCGCTGTGATCTTCGAAGTACAGACGTCACAGGTCATACCACGTTGATCATTGTCATTCTTGGATGGCGCCAGTCGCTCAGTACCAGCTTCTCCACATTCCTCCCACAACAGCTTTGAGGCTGCGTCATGTCCTTTCTTATTAGCTATCCAGAACGGTGTGCGCCCGAATTTGTCGGGTGTGCCAGGGTCGAAATCATACTGACGGATAAGTGTTTCGATAGTGGCAGTATCTCCACCAGCCGCTGCCCACCAGAGCAGAGTGCGTCCGTAACGATCTTGGAATTGTAGGGTGGTATCAAGTCTCGAGATCAGAAGCCTAACCAGATCTTTGTGGCCTCCGAATGAAGCAGCCTGGAGTACGTTACCGTAGTATCCGCCCTCTGCATTAATCTCGGTGCCTCTATCAAGTAGTAGCCTTACAATCTCTTTGTGGCCTTTGAATGAAGCCGCCTGGAGTGCGTTGCCGTGGTCTCCGCCCTGTGCATTGATTTCGGCGCCTCTATCAAGTAGCAGCGTTACGATCTCTTTGTGGCCACCAGATGAAGCCGCCTGGAGTGCGTTGCCCCAGTATCCACCCTGCGCATTGATCTCGGCGCCTCTGTTAAGCAGCAGCGCTACCATCTCCTTGTGGCCGTTAGATGAAGCCGCCTGGAGTGCGTTGCCCCAGTATCCACCCTGCGCGTTGACCTCAGCGCCTTTGTTGAGAAGTAGCATTGCAATCTCTTTGTATCCTCTCAACGAAGCTGTCTGAAGTGCACCGCCGTACCATGCACCCTGTGCGTTGACCTTAGCGCCTCTGTCGAGCAGCAGCTGTACAGCCTCTTTGTTACCTGACAATGAAGCCGCACAGAGAGCACTGTCGCCCTGTCCATTCTGCGCGTTGACGTCTGCGCCCCTGTCGAGCAGCAGCAATACAGTCTCTTTATGTTCTGCGGATAAAGACGAACTCCAGTTGCCTCCAACTGAAGCTGCGAAGAGTGCGTTGCCACTATTCCCACCCTGCGCGTTAACCTCTGCGCCTCTGTCGAGTAGCAGCTTTACAGTCTTTGTGTGTCCTCTGAAGGAAGCCGCCTGGAGTGCGTTGCCATGGTGTCCACCATTCTGCGCGTTAGCGTTGACGCCCTTGTCGAGCAGCAGCGTGACAATCTCATTGTGGCCTTGACATGAAGCCGCATGGAATGCGTTGCCGTGCTGTCCACCCTGCGCATTAATTTCAGCGCCTTTGTTGAGCAGCAGCCTTACAGTCTCTTTGTGGCCCCCGAATGAAGCCGCCTGGAGTGCGTTGCCGTAAAGTCCACCCTGCGCGTTAACGTCAGCGCCGTTGTTGAGCAACAGCTTTGTGATTGTATTCAACCCTAACTGTGCTGCGTAGTACAGGGGCGTGGCTATACTGTTTAGAGCTCTCTCTAAGTCTGGCCCACTCCAAGCTTTGTCTGGATCGCATAAGCGGATCCAAGTGAGATATGCAGGGTTTTCTGTGGACAACAATTTTATCGCAAGTAGACTTGTTCCTAGCTCCCTGTCCCCTGTCTTTTGAAGATGGCTGCTCCAGAACTCTGCTGAATATCTTGCGAGCGCGGACATATTAAGAACTTCTTGTGACAATGGCTGCTGAAACTGCATTAGGTACTGCAGCGAAGCTTTCGCTATTGCATCGTGGCAGACGACATCTTGCATGCTGTATGATTTAGCTTGTCCCCGCCTGATCCTATCGGAGACAAGATATTCCTGAACAGAATAGTGTGCCAAAGCGATGATCCGTTGTGAAGACCTTGAAGTGCCTCTTTCGTTTTCTGCCGTCAAAGTCACAAGACTCGAGCAGATATCCAGTACTTCGAGAGGGTCTTCTATGATATCGTCACGGTCGAACGCTGGGTCGCGGGTCACATCGATGGCGACCGCTTCGGCAACCTCTTCGGGGGAGAGCGGTCGAGCAGAGAACGTCAGCCACTGAAGAATGCGCAACGCATACTTGGAGTCTTCTTCGCTGATTGCGCATAGGATGCGGTCATATGTCTGCTCAAGCGTTGGCGGCAGTGTGGCGAGGGCCTTGCGCAGCATCGTTCGACTGCGACACTTTCCTAGTGCGTCAAGCTGACATGCAGCCCATCGAAACCTGTACCATCGTCAGTCCTACATTTGCTGAGGCGCGAGGGAGCACCAGTACATTCCATGGGCTCCACGCATCAGCGTAACCTCGATTTCTTGCCTGACAGCGGCGTCTTTTTCCCATTTGGTCAAGCTCTTGTCAGAAGACAACCTTTGTTGCACATATCGCTGGATGTCTCCATCGACTACGTCACTCTGAAGACAGACCGTGTCTTCTGAGTCTACGTAGTCTTCCAAAGAGCTTTCGATGTCCCGCTCTTTCCGACTCGTCATGAGCAGATGCAAGTTTTGGAGCTGCCACCCAGCCACTGTTGCAAGCACATCCATTAGCTCTGAGCGTTGCGTACACTCATCGAGAGCATCGAGAACGATATAGATCTGCGTGAAATCTTGCATAGTCTGCTGTAACACTTCAAGAAGCGCTTGGAGTGACGGTTGTCGTTGCTCGTTTTGGCAAGACGAGAACAACGTATCAAGGCTTCTAGGGATCGTGGTCAATTGCTGCAACAGCTGGCAGAGCAACGAGCGCACCATTAGCTCTGCATCCTGCTTCTGCGCGTCATTGAAGTCGAAGTAAAAGTACACAGTCACTGTGCCGAGGTCATCGTGGCAGTGCTGAAGCAGATTCTCAACGACGGTAGAGCTTAAGACGGTCTTTCCACATCCTGGGATCCCATACAGCCATAGTCGCGACATCGCACCTGTCTTCCATCTAATAAACTTCTCGCCTTCGAGTAGCCAGAGTCCAGTGTCAGCCTGCCGTTGCTTGAGCGCTTTGTGATAGTTCGTGGACGGGTCTGGCGCCGCGAGCCATTCGCGGATCTTGCCAAGCCTCGCTTCTTGGTCTCGGCTGCGGCTGTTATTGTTCTTTACAACGGCAGCACTCAACTCGTCTTCCCGAGACTCTTGTATCTCTCTCCTGAGCCGTTTGAGCGCCTTCTCTTTGCCTTCCCCATAGATCAGCGGCAAATGAGTGCCGAATATACCGAGCAAACAATACGCTCCATCCTCTTTGCGTGTCGTCTCGCGGTTTGCGGTCCAAGACAAACGCTCGGCTACGCTGAATTTGAACAATGAGCTCCCTGACAGAGCTTCTACGGGAATTTCTGTGATCTCATGAATAGTCTGCTTAAGCGATTCTCTGTCCCCAAGCCTCTTTCCCTCTACGGAGAAGAATTCGACCAATTTGGGAGCGAGAAGTTCTTGGAGTGTCCAGCCTCGAGTGAACCATCTACTTTTTCTGAAAGCTGGCTTCCATTTCTGGGACAATTCGCTATCCTTATCCGAAGCGTTAGCCTCGACGTCTGAAAGGTAAACATAACATCTCTCTGCTTTCTGGTACCAACGGAACATCGAGTTGATCGCTTCCGACAGCTCTGTGTTGTTTGACTTGTCGATGCAGCAGGTGTCCACCCAGAAATATTGCAGGCTGTTACGCTTTGCCTGTTGTGCACAGAAGCGAATCTTTCGATACCCCTCATGATGTTGCGCAACAATATCTTCCATGCTGTCGAGGTACTTTAGATCATCGAAGATCATCTCCTGCCCCTCTTTCCAGGTATGCGAGAGGATCGCATAGGGAGGAATCTCCTCGTCACTGACGTAGTCTTTGGTGCAACTGAGCCTCCCATCGCCTTCAACACGTAACAATCGCATCGAGCCGTGTATGTCCGCTTGCGCGAACGTTGTGGGAGTACCTTGAAGTCTCGAAGCCTCGGAGCAGGCTGAAGGTGCCGGTCGCGCAAGGCGGCTGGCTCACGCCGAACATGGAGATGGTAGCCGTCGAAATTGTTGTACGCAAACAGCGGCAGACTTAGCCAAGTCACAGGTGAAGATGAGGGTAAAGACGAAACCTTTGTGATCTACAGTTGAGAAGACTGTGAGGGTTGAGATGAGACGCAACCTGCCTGCACCGTCGAGTGAGGCTAGTCAGCCGAGGCTGACAGCGCATGATTGCGCCATAGCCGCCGCAACGACAACTTGGAGGAGCAGCTCTCGACTCTGACAGAGGACGCGGTTCAGCGCTGCAAAAAGTGAGGAGTAGATTTTGGTGAATCATTCGCGCTTATCCTTGGCTGCGAGGCGCCTCTGAAATCTACAGTGGCAAGAGCTATGGAACGCAGAAGAATCGACAGCAGTGCTGTAGGCGAACTCTTTCAAAGTGTGCAGTCCAGGAGCATGCGCTACATCTTTTTTGAGGGTCGTACGGCGTCGATCTAGCATAAGCAGACCGCTTCATTGCGGGCTGAGCTCCGCTGTGCCAAGGTGGGCGGGACAAGGCTGACGACTATGAGATAGCCCTCCAGTGATAGGACAATAGTATCACAAAACTTAAGAAGTACAGTTTAATCTCGTATTGTAGATGAAGTGCATTGAACCCATTCAAGGCTGTGTTGTTATTGTACTCATACTCTGTAGCACGACTAAACTCTTAGCCGCCTCTCAAGCAGCGCTTGCGACAACTAGATCAAAGAGCGCCATCTAGTCTGCGGCAAACCGCGCGTACCAAGTACATAGACGTCCGAGAGGCTTCGTTTGTCTGTTGCTAACTCTGGTCTCCAGCATCTAGGTGTAGAGAAGCTGCACCTGGCAGAGCCTCGAGCACTTGCGAGTCCCGCAGCCAGCCTGCTTCATGCCCGCTTCCAGCCCAGCTTCTTCAGTACTCTATGCCGCCTTGAAGCCGATTTAGGCTGTGATTGACGGGGGTCTATAACACCTCGACTGTACACATGCTCTTGCACTGCTGTCTCGCATCGGACGTCGCTGTCTCCTTCTATCATTTCTAGAGCGACAAGATTGTCGCGCAATGGCTGACACTTGGGATTACCTCCCCCAAACACCTTCTCGTAGCCCGAGAGCGCTTTCGAATACCACACTCTGGCCTCGTCCACACGGCCTAGACTGTCAGATAGCGAACCGAGGGCCCACAGAGTGTTGAGAGCTGGTACATAGGAAGAGATTCTTTCAGGTCCAACTCCCTTCTCATATCCCTGTAGCGCTCGCTTGTACATCGTCTCTGCCTTGTCGAGCTTTCCCTGGTCCCTGTAGAGGTTGCCCAAGTTGTTGACTGTGTC